GGGTTTAAACTGCAGCAAGGGAGGTCTAGGTTGGACATTAGGAAAAAGTTCCTAACTGTCAGGGTGGTTAAACACTGGAATAAATTGCCTAGGGAGGTTGTGGAATCTCCATCTCTGGAGATATTTAAGAGTAGGTTAGATAAAAGTCTATCAGGGATGGTCTAGACAGTATTTGGTCCTGCCATGGGGGCAGGGGACTGGACTCGATGACCTCTCCAGGTCCCTTCCAGTCCTAGAATCTATGAATATATGAATATCTGCATCAGACGCGCCCTCTAGTGGGAATCGCGAACCCGACAGTCTCGATTCTGAGATAACTAGATTTTGCGCTTGTACCAAGAAAACAGGAGCATTTTCATTTATATCCTGTATCTCCACTTCCACGTGAAATATCCTTAGGGGTTTGTCCACTATCACCTCCAGGTCAATGGCGCACAGGGGGCTCTGGCCGCACAGCTCTTCCCTGTCTACTCGCGAATTAACAAACAAAACGCCGTTCTGCAAATTTACCTCAAAATAGTCTCTCCTGTCTTTGGAGACCATCCGGAACATCCGAGGCACCAGCTCCGCCACCTCCAGCCCCAGGTCCTGGGCCAGGCGGCCCACAAAGGTGCCGTGTTTGGAGTCCTTCGGCACGGAATAACGGACCTGGCCGCTGCCCACCTCCCAGGCCGTGTGTAACAGAACCAACCGCAGCAGCTGCCTGGTTACCAGGGGGCTAACAAATTTATTAGAGCATAAGCTTTCGTGGACTATAGCCCACTTCTTCGGATGCATAACACAAGTCCTCCTGTTCTTCTTTTTGCGGATACAGACTAACACGGCTGCTACTCTGAAACCTGGTTACCAGGGCGTCTCGCCGGAGAAGAGCCATCGCGGACACGGGGCGGTGTCAGTGACTGTTTGAGAGATAAAATTCCTAGGTCTTTAACAGAAAATAAATATTCTTAAATATCCTGCCGTGTCTTTGTGCAAATTTAATCCGGTGTCAGGCAATCCTGCCGAATCTGTTGTTTGCTGCAAATTACAGCACAGTCCGAAGAGGCACAGTCCGAAATTTTCCGTTTTTTTTTTAAATATATCTTCCTTCTGTTGTTCATAAATTAAGAAAATCTCTTGAAAACTTTCACACGTATGTTTTAAATCATGAAATAAATTCCATTTGACTCCGGCATTATTCAGCAGATCTCAGGCTGTGAGAGACTGGATACAAAGCAAGGTGGAGCTCTGTTTTTCCTTTTTTTTATGAAGTCAACAGCGACATCCTGTGACTAAAACGTGTAAATGCTAAATGGGGCGGGGGGGTAAAATATTTTCCTACTGCACTACTCCTGCGCCGACCTTTATCAAATTTCTTCAAAAAAAGTATTTTCTTTGAAGATGGCAAAATTTTTAAAAATATCCACAGTTAAATGAGCGACATCTGAACATTCATTAAATTTCCTTCCTTCCTTTTCTTCAATTTTAGATACTAATGGGTGTATGTTTTTATTTTCGATTTAAATTTAAGGAAATAGGACTCGACTTTTATTTACTTTAGGTTAGTGACAACGTTGTGATTTATTACGTGGAGCAGAGTGTTTATGATCATATTTTTCAGTCTTCCTCGATGTATTGTCTTTTGTAACACCAAGGAATCGGACTTCAGTGTTCACCTATGGCCATACTAAGAGTGCAAAATTACAAAGGCTAATTTAAATGTATAGAAATCTACAAAAAAAAGAAGCTAATCATTTCAATCCAAAATCCATAGAAATCGGAGAACAGTTGTCCTCTACTAGTTCGCTTACATGGGGTGGGACGCAAACTACACAGTTGGATTCCAAAGAAAGAATTTGGTGTCGTAGTGGGTCCTGTAGAGGAGTCCAATGGACAGAGCACTGGATTTGGAGTTAGGAGACCTGGATTCTATTCCTGGATCTATCTCTGACTTGCTATGTGATTTTGGGCAAATCACTTCGCCTTTCTGTACCAGTTTCCCTTCCCACGCATTGACTGTCTTGTCTATTTGAATGATAAACTCTTGGAAGCTGGAATTGTCTTTTATGTGTTTGCACAATGGCCCAGCTCAATGGAGCCCCAACTCATTTGGAACTCCTAGGCTCCACCTTTTCTTCTTCTTTCTATTATTATTACTATTACTATTATTATTATGTGACCAGAGCATCTGCTTAGAATCACACATCTAAACCCACCTGTCGGAGGCACACAGGGGTTCCACTAGCTAACAAAGTCCACGGGCTGTAGCCGTGGCAGTGGAGTAACGATACAGATACTCCTACAAAGCTACTGGATTGAGGGACTATTATAATTCCCCCCCCCCCAAAAAAAAAATATTAAATCTTTTGCATAAAGGCAACTTATTACTTGGGGTTTGTGCATAGTGGTCAGCTCTTGATCTTAAGATATCTACGAACTACCCTCATTCGTCTCAATGTAATGTTAATTCAGATGCGCAGTGCCAAGTAAACGCACAGATAGATGTCAGATTATGCTGATTCAAATGTAAACCTTGTTAACTATTTCATTGTTTATTTGGTTACCAAAACACCCAACTACTCTGGGACTGTTTGGAGAGTATGAACAGAGTGCCACCCCCCCCCCCCCCCACGTCTATCTCCAGCCCAGGTAGCATGGGCAATGTATATCGCTGTTGAATGTCATCCTGTCCCTAATTGCGGGTTTGGCAGCATAGTCTGAATCAGCCAGGAATAGTTTACCAGCCTGATTCAATATATGGATTTAATATATACAGTTCCCATGTCGTCAAATCCTCCCACCTCCTCCTACTGTGCGTTACCAATATTTAATCCCATACAGTGTTTCTCTTATTCCTGCACGACTCTGGTTTCCCAGAAACAGTAGCTGCTTTGTCTCCTTTTCCAAGATGCTTCCCAACGAGTCTCATTCTGTTTGTGCTGAAGACCTACGTCATGGAAAGATTAAAGTCATCCTTTCACATCATACTTCGGGTCACTTGTACTCCTCCTGGCTATGGCCTGCAATGGCTCTTTGCAATTTTTGGAACCATTGACAACTGCAAGTGTTTCTCAGAAGTCCTTACACTTCTAGGTATATGAGATAGATCGTTCTTTCCAGCACAGGATCGCCAATCAAGTATCCCTTTAATATTTATTCTCCCATAAGAATTCTTCCATGAATTATTGGTGGCTCTGGGATTTCCTTATCTCTCTGAATCCTGATTCTTCTGAGATTTGTGGTCTTATTCGCTTTTCAAGTTGATTGGTACCTTCTTGCCAAGATAATACCTTCCACCTTCTGACATGCCCGGACAGCACAGTGAGGAACATTGTGGAGAGTGCTCTGCAGGATGCCATCAAGAAGCAAATTGCCAGGACCCCCTCCAACCAAGATGTAGCCACCTACCTAAGCGACTCACTGGAAGACAAATTTGGAAGGGGAGGAGACTTTGCTTTGCTCTGGACTCATGCCCGCAATGCTGCGCAATAACTGGAGAAGTTTATTGGCTGCCACTGGACATGGTGTGAAGAACGCCAGAAGCTGGGAACCCTGGTGCCACAGGTGAAGAATATGGAGTGCACATCATCACTCCAAGAGACAGAACCATGCTGGAGAGGACCCTGAATGATGTCATTCGCTGCCAATATGTGGAAAACCTGAAACGGAAGCCAGACCAGGGCAAGGCCTTTGAAGTGACATGCAAGTGGCAAGCCAGCAACCACTTCCTCCCTGGAGGCAACTTCACCTAATTTGCCGACTGGAGGTTCATCCACCAGGCCTGGCTCAACTGCGTCCCACTGAGTGGAGCTGTCCGCCATGGGAATTGGGACAAGCGATGCAAGAAGTGCGGCTATGCCAATGAGACTTTACCCCACATCCAGTGTAGCTGCAAGCCCCATTCGAGAGCTTGGCAGCTGTGACACAATACCATCCAAAATCATCTCACCAGAGTCATCCAGCCATCCATGGGGAAGGTTGCTGTAAACTCCACCATCCCCAGAACTGACAGCCAACTGTGACCAGACATCGTCATCAGCAACGAGGACCGGAAGAAGATCATCATGGTGGACATCACAGTGCCCTTCAAAAACAGGACTCTGGCTTTCCACGACGCCCAAGCTCAAAAGCTGGAGAAATATGCCTCTCTGGCCAACACCCTGAGAGCTAGGGACTACTAGGTCCAAACTCACACACTGATCATTGGAGCCCTGGGTGCATGGGACCCCGGTAATGAGCGAGTCCTGAGAGAATGTGGAGTCAGTCAACGCTACGCTCAGCTGATGCGGCAACTCATGGTGTCAGACACCATCAGGTGATCAAGGAATATCTACACAGAACGTATCAGTAGACATCAGCAAAACCAGGAGGGATGAGCTGGAGTGCCGATGAGAAGTGCAGTCCAGAAAGTAACTCAAATACTTTCCTGATGGACTGTTTTTTTTTCTCTAAATGGACAACCTATCCTAATTCTCAATTACTGAGGGACAATCTCCACTCATTGATGTATTTTGCTTTCCACAACCAAATCTCTGTACAACTTTTCATGAGTGATGTACCCGAGTATTCGGATTCTAATATCTAAGCTGTATTGTTAAATCTATTCACCTAAATTTGGGTTATTGCTGATTATGTACTCTATGTATCATATGACTTTAAAAAAAAACTTTGCATTTGTGGATAATGTAAGCACTATACCCAGATGTACAGACACTCTTTTCCCAACCTATGTATTATATAATTTTTTTAACATTAGCTTTAATAAAATATTATCTCTCCGAGTCCTGAAATAGCATCTAAGGAAGTGAGAAATCTTGTATTTTTCCTCGCTGAGATCTGCCAGATATTCAATCCCCTTTCCTCTTCCATTCAAATTATCTGTTCTCATCATCCAGTTCCTAGTTAAAGTATCACTGAAATTTTCAGAATATAATTGTGATGTTATCTGATTAAAATATGACCATATAGATAATTGTTGCAAACACTGATATATATTTGCAACAAATCTTGTACAAAATGTGGCATGTAAGATGGCTATGGAAAGGTTATGATTTGCTGGTTATGATTATGCTATCTGTATGCATGTATCATTTTTGTATTTGAAGTTATGAATATTTGCTCTGGATTGGATTTCAAAATGTTTGCTCCTTGGTAATGCTCACAAGGTGGTTAGCCTGCACCTCTTGGAGGGACTATTCAAATGAAGTGGCTCATCAAGAAACACTTAACTGACAATGGACCATGGGAGATGCCTATCTACACTGAATGGACTGTCCTGCAAATGTGCTGTCTGAAATATAGGTAATGGTTTCCTGCAATGACTAGGCAAAATGCATGGACTTGTCCATGTGACTTCAACCACCATCTTGTTACTGTACTTTCCCACAGTGAGAACAATGTGGTTCCCCCCACATGGCAGAAGCTATAAAAGGCCCTGGAAACCCCTCCATTTTTCCTCTTTCCTGCCCAAACCTCTGGACTATGGACTATACTTATGTGAGGATTCTAACCAATGGACTGAGGTTCTTCCAATGACTTTTCTTGACTGATATAGCCTCATGTCTGTCAGATGTGAATGAAGGAGAAGAATTTGAAGATGGATTTGGACGGAATTCCCATGTGCAAAAGGCCTTGATTCTCTCTTTGCTTCGGCTTTGCACATTTCTCTCCCCTAACAGTTTTTAGGTGTAGCTACTATTTCCTCTCACAGAATGTGATAGCCCCAGAAACCCAATGCAGTGAAGATAGAGCCATCCATTCACTGGCTTTGTGCTGAACCATGCCCATTGTCCTTGCCATAAGTTTAGAAACTGGAATTATTATAGTTCAATTAATTTATACACAAATTGTGTAAAGCAGAGTTTATTTCTGCCAGCCTTCATGTTATTTCCTGCACTATAGAATGTGTTAAATAAACTTCCACAAACCATTGAGCATTGGTGTTGGTGGTTTCATTATTAGTCCAGGG